GCACGCACGCACGCACGCACGCACGCACGCACGCACGCACGCACGCACGCACGCACACACACACACAAACGCACGGACACAAATATAAACGACACAAGCGACTGCACTCATAATCAAACGACCAGTTAATAAGTATAGACGATAGAGAGTTAAAATATCGAAGTAAAGATTAAACATATACGTACCGATCCACATCTGAGGACGGGCGCCATGTACACGAGATGATAGTGACACGATGCTACAGAATATCCACAACGCTGTCATAGGTCCGGCCATTTTGCTAACCGAAGTGGCTAGTGGCTCATCATCACCCACGACAGGCGTGTTCCAAAGGTGCGTACTTTACTTGATCTTCTTAGATAAATTTCTAGATTAAGTTGGCACGTCGGCAGGGATGACAGATCAGGCGGTCATGATTCTCGTATGCAAATACGGGCAATACATACGGACACACGGGCACCTAGCCGCAAGAAGAGTATAAAGGTTTGGGGTATGAAAGGGCCGTATAGCTAGCGGATGGGTGCGGAGGTGGCAGTTGCTTCCTCCAGTAGCTGCGGGGAACTGTCCACGGTCAATTGCCGGGAACGCAAACCGCGCGTAGGATCCAGGAAAAAAATCAATTAACTGCGGCGCCAATATGAATATGATTTTATATCAAACTTTAAGATCTTACTTATGAGCTTTCTCGCAGTGCATAAATCCAACAAAATTATATATATACTAGCGGGATACCCGGCGTTGCCCGGGGAAATCAGTGGCGTTACTCAGCTGGTGACCGCTTGGTTGAAGGGAAAATACCCCCAAAAAGCCAACTATCTATCTATCCATGCATCCATCCATGTGTAGCGTGGAATATCGTATCGTAGACAGTAGACGTAACAGTGATGTAAACGGTAAACAACTATAGGTTTATTCTAAACACGAACAGTGGCAGTGTACACATACCAAGTTGTAGATGGCGTCTCTCCCGATCTACCCGAAAACTCTCCCTTTTATCCGTCTCCCCCGACCTCGCCCTGTTTCTGCGCTTATTGTCAAGGTTTGTTGCCCTCCCTAACCGGTTGCCAGTATTGTCATTAAGGCGTCTCTTAATGATAGCTGGTTGACCATTTTAGCTGTGTTCTTGGGTAGAGTCGAGACCGTTGTACCCCTCGTCCGATCGTGAGAACCGTCAACAAAAAAACAGATAAACCAGAAGAATCACTAAACTCATAATCTATCTAAGAATCATAAATCAAAAAGATTAACGTAGAACCAGCAAATCCCACGACCACACCGAAACACCAACAAGCCATAACTACCACTAGACCCTCTCCAGCAGACCTAGGAAAATCGTCGAGTACCACCATAAGGTTTATTTAAAAATTCCAATAACAGGCATACCGGAAGACACCTCAGCAAACCGGCCGCCGGAGCCCTAATTCATATGTACTTTGCTAATCGCTAACCCTAAATTACATATATAATCAGCAAATCGCTAAATCAACAAAACTTCTAGGATCCACACAGAGACTCAATCGGTGCTAACACCATGTTTCGACACCGAAGCAACTTGAGCGGCACCTGGATGCAACAACCCCTACTCCATCTTACCCCAACTGAGAAGATCCAACATAGTCTCGCCATCAATCAAGAACGTAAATCCGGTAAATCACCATAAAACTGAGAAAACTGATGACAGAAGAGACTTGTCTTGATTTAGAATAAATGTTCTTAACACCAAAGGATGCCAATCGTCTAATAGAACTTAATATATCTTAACAGTAATTAATATTAAAAAAAATGTAAAATATGATGCAGCTAGAATCCAATGTAATACATAGATGAACCATCCCCAAACACCACAAACTAAACATTACATCTCGCCCGTCTTCATATTGGATCATTCTCATCCAGTCCCATCCGTAAGACCTCGTCTCCCGTCCTTCCGCCTCGTTAAATCCGCTTCAGCCACATCTCGTGGCCTGGTCAAGCGAGCCTACAGAACAAACACTCATTCCGTCTCACAGCACACACTAGCTGGTACACAGAACAGAATCCCATCTTGCTGCACACACCACTACTCCGCGCAGCATCACCCTCGCCGCACCTGCAGCCCTAACTGACGCCATGAAGACGTTGTGGTGCGGTAGGTTCCTTTGAAAAACACTGGTACCCCGCACTTCAACATTACAGTACCTTTCATCCATAGTATGATTTGACAGCAAGGAGGTCAGCCTGATCTGCAGCCTCTATAGCATCATTTGGACGGAGTGCCCCGGACTAGCGGAGGTCCGCATGGTTGAATGCGTGTGCACCAGGGACTATCAGCAGATGACGATTCTTTTGCCTTGCGATAAATCCGTAACCGGAAAACATTCATGACGTGCATTCTTCTGCCCATAAAATTAGGCAAGAAGGCTTGCCAGTTGCCAATCCAGGTCACTGTCAGTGCAATCGTCCTTTCCAAGAACTGAAGCTAGTCCAAGCAATATTAGTCCTGATCTCGAGCACTTCAGGCGGACACCTTGTCAAACAACCTGAGAGGCGTGCATTCCCAATATTCCCTGCCATCCTTCCCGAGCTAGTGACAGTGCATAGGATGCAACAGCACGATCCATCTCCAGCTTTTTTCATCTGAAACAATAGCATGAAACTACCATGTAATGCTGCAACCAAGCATCATGTGTGCAGAGTACGTTGTGAAGCTGCCATATGTTGGTTCTGTTCATGAGGCATTACGACCAGCTAGTGTGATTCAAGTCAGTTGATATGCCAGTGGATCCCTGACCCCGGCCCTTCTCGCCCTCGCGTGAATCCTTTGCACTGAATACCTTCAGCGGATCAAAAAAGGACAATAAATCGCCCCTCGAGTGATGAGCGCCGAGATCCTTCCTCAGCAAGATCACCCACTTACCCAGGATGGCCGCATGCAGACAGTGGGGTAAAGTAGGCTGAAGAGCGTCCAACTGCACACGAGGCCAGAGGGAAGAGGGTTCCTAATCGATGACGCCGAATGTTTAACTAGTAACTGGCCACGACTTGTATTCCTTTTCGGAGAATCCAATACCGTCGACTGACCTGATGGAGAAACAGGCACAGGCTCATATGGAAGACAACAGACAAAGCAAGATCCTCTTTTGCCAATCGATCAAGAGATGGGCGAATAGCGTCCCAAGGTCAAGACAAATTTTGTCTTCTCCACGCTAAACTTTTGAAAATTGTAAGCAACATTGAACTTGTGAGCCCAAAGCCAAACAGTATTCGCATCATGATAAAGCAGACATATCTTCTCACAGCTCATTGCTTCGTACTGGCGGCATACACGGCGACCGAACTGTGCGCCATCCTAGGACGACACAAGGAATGACGAGCGCCGTGTACTGGTGCGGAAAAATGGCGTAATCATGCCAGTTCAGATGGCAAAGCTGGGATGGATCCGTGCTTGACACCACATGCACTGTCCAATCCGAAGCGAAAAATAAATGCAAGGAAAAATTGGGGATGCAACGCCACTCTCAGGTTTCTGACACCCGTGTCCTATCCTAATGCGAAAGGCGAAAAAAGATCCAGCCTGAAAGGCGCAATAACCAGACCGATATTGGCTGGAACGAGACCAGTTCTGGCGAGAGCGCGATAGCCACTGGCACGGTGACGCTATCAACTGCAAAGCCCTCTTCTACATTAAATAGCCAGAAGAAAGGCCCACGTCAAATGAATGCTCCAAGTACGAGATATCGCAGCGAAAGAAACCATCCATCCGGAATCCCTGCACCAAACAAACATCAACCTGGCACTCCCCTATCCGAGAAGCACAATCTCCAAATGAATA